ATTACTTTGGTGAATTTTTTTTAAATTGAGTGGGGGTGCCATATGGAACTCTTACCCAGCAAACCTTAATGTGAGCACAATTAGAAGAATGTAACAACAATAAAAACATGACTTTAACGCGGGATTTTGAATAATTTAAAAACACTATTTAATTTTTAAAATTTGAGATAACAAATCTTTCAGTTAACAGCATATAAATTCTCTAAATACTATTGTTTGAATATCTTATAAAATCCAATATATTTTATAGTAAGTCTCGCCAATATCTTGTTGCGAATATCTTACAAAGGGAAATTATTCATTTATTAAGTTTCATTGTTAAGCATTATTCGATGATGTAACACCAAGAAACTTACTAAATCGTATAAGCAAAAATAAAACTTTCCTTGACTATGTATTCTAGACATATCTTTATAACACACTTAGATCTGGACTAAAACATAAAAAATGTACATTAATTGGTACTGGTTCGACGAGATATCACCGTACATGAACAGAGAACGCCCTTGGCCAGTTAGAAATCTATCAAAAACTAACATTTCCCAGTACCCGAAACAATAAGGTAAAAACTATTTAGTCTTTCCCCAAAACAACACGTGTCATTTTTTTTCCACAATGACGCTAATTAGATGCTTTTTGAGCTCCTCAATTACCTCCTCCAGTTTTTTTATTTTCACCCTCAAAGTATCATTTTCTTGTTCAAGATGTCTTGATTGTTCTTCCATTTCCTTTTCTTTTTCTTTTCTGGTCATTCTAGACCGGCGAGAAGCCATATTATTTTTTCTCCTCATTTCTTGATACCTGTCTTCCGAGAAAATCTTACTTTCACTGTCAGAGAGTCTCGGAACCTTAATTTTACTTCCGGTTGGAATTTCTTCAATCAATGTATTCCACTTACTTCCTCGTTTCACGCTATTCAGTTGAGTCGACTTCAAAGCAGTAACAGAAAGAGGGGTATGGGAAGTAGAGGGCGCTTCATAAGCTGGATCAAAGACGTCAGATTGTTCAGTGTTATTATTAAATGATTCCGATGAATCAACAGATTTGTAGCTGAAAGAAAATCCATCCTGAAAAGAAAGAGAAAAAAAACAGTATTAACGTTACATTGTATTTCTATAACGTCAGACTTCTAATACAATAAATTCTGCAATAGATTTATGTTGAGAATTATATTAGAAACAAGCTGGAATACCCGCCAAATAACAGGGAATGTTTAAACTTAATTAAAACAATGTAAGCTCAACACCAATCATATATTTCAAAGTAATAACTTGGACATAAATTTTATCTCAAATTTTAAAATTATAACAAAGCTTCTTCATAAACAACATTTGCAGTTTGCTTTCCATCTACCAACAAATAAAGATTTTGAGGCTATCCACCCCCCTTGAATATCCTACATCTCATTGACCATGAGAAAAGCATGGTTGTTTGAGAAACATTCCAACAACTTTCATACTTTGACCTTGGATCCCTTTAGAATATTGAATATTGTCTAAAGCGTCAGCCTACCAAGATTATTTGAGATTGACTCAATTGGCTTTACAATATGATAATAGGGTTAAATTCAATTTGACCCCTTAGGACAGTTCTCATAGTTCATGGTGGTTCCATACAAATTTTGGTTGAGATTGACCAAATAGGCTCGGAGGAGTGAGGGTGTAAACAAACACACATTTCGTCTTTATATATATAAAACATCAGTATATATAAGTGTCTCTCCTTAACAGTACTTTATTCATTAAACATTCAGGAAACATTAAAGCTGCAGGTGTAATATATAAAAAAAATCATATATTTAGTTTCGTATTTGCTCTCATAATTATTCGCCAACGCCATTTTGACTATTTATATTTCCCGGTGTTTTCTAATATAATTTAATTATTTCACAATCTCGTCATTAAAACTAAGTTGAAAATTGCTTTATATAGATAACAATTAATGAAAACAGTTTGCAAAAAAAAAAAAAACAAACAAAAAAACTCGCACCTGATCCATTACGCTGGAAAGGTCTTGGAATCTTTCATTGCTGTCCCAACAGTCATGCATGGCGCTAGAAAAGATGCCCATTGAGCTAGTTTCTGTTGTGGTCGTGTCTTTTGTGTTTTCTACTGTGGTCAGCAAGGAGCTTTCTTGTCCGCAATGACCCATGGAAGTAAAAGTGCTATCTTCAGTGTTCACTTCATAACAATCGCCAGACGGCAATGTGTAACGTTTAGGTGTTGAGTTTTCGAGTGATCCAGACATCTTATACAAGACATGCAATGAACTATCTGTAACCTTGGAAGATAAGTCCAGACTTTCTGTTTTAGCGACCTGTTCAACTTTTACTTTGTGACGACAAGGAAATTGATTTTTTTTAACAACAGCATCGAAATGGGCCAAATCCTCAAACAGTACAAATTTTTCCAAATCGATATCAGACTCCGAGGAACTCTTTAATAGCTGTATGTCTGTTAAAATAATTAAACGTGATGTAAAACTGGTCATAAAACGATTATCAAAACTAAAATAAAATTTTAACAGCTGGAAAATATATTATTGTCAAATAACTCGATTAAAGCAAGCAAATATACACGGGACATAAAAACAACAACAAAGAACAAAAAATAATTAATTGGTTTATTTTAAAAAGTCACTAACTATAACTCTCTCGACATCAACCATTCTTTAAAGATAAAGCACGTAAAGATGTTTGGTGTAATAATGTACACCTCTTTTGAATTACACGCAAAGTTATTCGAGGGCTATCTGCGCTAGTCGTCCCTAAATTTGATATGAGAGACTTTTAAGCTATTCTTTAACAACGAATAGTGGGATTGACCATGACGTTATAACGCCCTTACACATGAAATAACGAATATGTTTGGGGGGACGAGGTTTGGAATTCGTGACCCTCAGATTAAAAATCAGGGAGAGCACCTAGGCATGTTCTCAGTACCATTTCTGAATTTAGTCTGTCTCTCTCTATAAATGACCCGGCATGGCCAGGTGGTTAAGGCAC